TCTTGTTATTCCCCATATCCTAAGATGGGGTTCTTGTTATTACTTGGACGCCTCCTACTCCTTCTCCTTCCTCCTCCTCTTTTCTCCTCCCCTCCTGTCGGACATACTCAGACTTGCTCATACACAGACTTACTCATACTCAGACTTACTCATACTCAGACCTACTCATACTCAGACTTACTCACACTCAGACATACTCATACACAGACTTACTCATACACAGACTTACTCACACCCAGACGTACTCATACACAGACTCACTCATACCCAGACTTACTCATACACAGTATTAGTCATACTCAGACTTACTCATACCCAGACGTACACATACACAGACTTTCTCATACACAGACCTACTCATACCCAGACTTACTCATACACAGACTTACTCATACACAGACTTACTCATACTCAGCACCCCTAAGGGGAGCCGCCAGGGGTGGTTGCACGGGCTCGTTCGCGGCCATTTTGTGGGGATGTCTCAGCGGTTTGCTTGTTTCTGGGCCCAACATCCTTCGCTTGGAGAGCAGATTGTCAGGATGTCTCGGAAGGGGAGCCGCCAGGGGTGGTTGCACGGGCTCGTTCGCGGCCATTTTGTGGGGATGTCTCAGGCGGTTTGCTTGTTTCTGGGCCCAACATCCTTCGCTTTCGGAGCAGATTTGGAGGATGTCTCGAGCGAGGCGCTCATTTCAGCACCCCTAAGGGGGCCGCCAGGGGTGTTTGCACGGGCTCGTTCGCGGCCATTTTGTGGGGATGTCTCAGGCGGTTTGCTTGTTTCTGGGCCCAACATCCTTCGCTTTCGGAGCAGATTTGGAGGATGTCTCGAGCGAGGCGCTCATTTTCACCCCCCAGGTGGGCCAGATTTTGAGGATGTCTCGATCGGTTTGCTTGTTTTGGTGGCCAGGCTCGTGGGCGCAGATTCTTCTCAGGATGCCACAGGAGGCTCCAACAGGCTCCAGGAGGCCCCAGGAGACCACATGAGGTCCCAGGAGGCATCAGGAGGCCACAGAAAGACTCAAGAGGCCACAGGATGTCCCAAGAGGCTCCAGGAGGCCCCAGGAAGCTCCAGAAGGCCTCAGGAAACCACAGAGGCCCCAGGAGGCAACAGGAAGCGCCAGGAGGCCTCGGAAGGCAACAGGAGGCCCCGAGAGGCCCCAGGAGCAGGAGGCTTCAGAAGGCAACAGGAGTGGCTCCAATCCCATGTGTTTTACGTATGCTCCTATCGATTGGGCCTCACCTGGAGCACGATTCTTTGATGTTCTACGGTGTTTCTATATATGGTCCTTCTCCTGTGTACACAATCCTAAATGTTTTACTCATGTTCCTATGTTTTGGGCCTCTCCTGAGGCACGAGTCCTTGGTGTTTTACGCGTGTTCCTATAGATTGCCCTTCTCCTGTGGCTCTAATCCGCAATGTTTTATGTACGTCTGTTGCTATAGATTGCGCCTCTCCTGGGGCACGAAACCTTCCTAGGAGGTCCCAGGAGGTCCCAAGAGGCTCCTGGAGACCCCAGGAAGCCCCAGTAGGTTTCAGGAGGCCCCAGGAGGCCCCAGGCTCATGCACAGAGACGCGCTCGTACTACTGAGGCTCATTCACACTCCAATTCATTCGCAGTTAGATTGATGTCCAGACCGTCACAACTGAAGCCCGTTAATATTCGAAAGCTCTTGCGCCTAGACATTCACGGCGGACAGGTCCATGCGAGTAGATGCACATATGGGGAGCTCCACGCAGTGAATAATTACTTGGACGCCTCCTACTCCTCTCTCCTTCCTCCTCCTCTTTTCTCCTCCCCTCCTGTCGGGCTTACTCATACTCAGACTTGCTCATACACAGACTTACTCATACTCAGACTTACTCATACTCAGACCTACTCATACTCAGACTTACTCACACTCAGACATACTCATACACAGACTTACTCATACACAGACTTACTCACACCCAGCCGTACTCATACACAGACTCACTCATACCCAGACTTACTCATACACAGTATTAGTTATACTCAGACTTACTCATACCCAGACGTACACATACACAGACTTTCTCATACACAGACCTACTCATACCCAGACTTACTCATACACAGACTTACTCATACACAGACTTACTCATACTCAGCACCCCTAAGGGGAGCCGCCAGGGGTGGTTGCACGGGCTCGTTCGCGGCCATTTTGTGGGGATGTCTCAGGCGGTGTGCCTGTTTCTGTGCCCAACATCCTTCGCTTTCGGAGCAGATTTGGAGGATGTCTCGAGCGAGGCGCTCATTTCAGCACCCCTAAGGGGAGCCGCCAGGGGTGGTTGCACGGGCTCGTTCGCTGCCATTTTGTGGGGATGTCTCAGGCGGTTTGCCTGTTTCTGTGCCCAACATCCTTCGCTTTCGGAGCAGATTTGGAGGATGTCTCGAGCGAGGCGCTCATTTCAGCACCCCTAAGGGGAGCCGCCAGGGGTGGTTGCACGGGCTCGTTCGCTGCCATTTTGTGGGGATGTCTCAGGCGGTTTGCCTGTTTCTGTGCCCAACATCCTTCGCTTTCGGAGCAGATTTGGAGGATGTCTCGAGCGAGGCGCTCATTTCAGCACCCCTAAGGGGAGCCGCCAGGGGTGGTTGCACGGGCTCGTTCGCGGCCATTTTGTGGGGATGTCTCAGGCGGTTTGCCTGTTTCTGTGCCCAACATCCTTCGCTTTCGGAGCAGATTTGGAGGATGTCTCGAGCGAGGCGCTCATTTCAGCACCCCTAAGGGGAGCCGCCAGGGGTGGTTGCACGGGCTCGTTCGCGGCCATTTTGTGGGGATGTCTCAGGCGGTTTGCCTGTTTCTGTGCCCAACATCCTTCGCTTTCGGAGCAGATTTGGAGGATGTCTCGAGCGAGGCGCTCATTTCAGCACCCCTAAGGGGAGCCGCCAGGGGTGGTTGCACGGGCTCGTTCGCGGCCATTTTGTGGGGATGTCTCAGGCGGTTTGCCTGCTTCTGTGCCCAACATCCTTCGCTTTCGGAGCAGATTTGGAGGATGTCTCGAGCGAGGCGCTCATTTCAGCACCCCTAAGGGGAGCCGCCAGGGGTGGTTGCACGGGCTCGTTCGCGGCCATTTTGTGGGGATGTCTCAGGCGGTTTGCCTGTTTCTGTGCCCAACATCCTTCGCTTTCGGAGCAGATTTGGAGGATGTCTCGAGCGAGGCGCTCATTTTCACCCCCCAGGTGGGCAGATTTTGAGGATGTCTCGATCGGTTTGCTTGTTTTGGTGGCCAGGCTCGTGGGCGCAGATTCTTCTCAGGATGCCACAGGAGGCTCCAACAGGCTCCAGGAGGCCCCAGGAGACCACATGAGGTCCCAGGAGGCATCAGGAGGCCACAGAAAGACTCAAGAGGCCACAGGATGTCCCAAGAGGCTCCAGGAGGCCCCAGGAAGCTCCAGAAGGCCTCAGGAAACCACAGGAGACCCCAGGAGACAACAGGAAGCGCCAGGAGGCCTCGGAAGGCAACAGGAGGCCCCGAGAGGCCCCAGGAGCAGGAGGCCTCAGAAGGCAACAGGAGTGGCTCCAATCCCATGTGTTTTACGTATGCTCCTATCGATTGGGCCTCACCTGGAGCACGATTCTTTGATGTTCTACGTATGTTTCTATAGATGGTCCTTCTCCTGTGTACACAATCCTAAATGTTTTACTCATGTTCCTATGTATTGGGCCTCTCCTGGGGCACGAGTCCTTGGTGTTTTACGCGTGTTCCTATATATTGCCCTTCTCCTGTGGCTCTAATCCGCAATGTTTTATGTACGTCTGTTGCTATAGATTGCGCCTCCCCTGGGGCACGAAACCTTCCTAGGAGGTCCCAGGAGGTCCCAAGAGGCTCCTGGAGACCCCAGGAAGCCCCAGTAGGTTTCAGGAGGCCCCAGGAGGCCCCAGGCTCATGCACAGAGACGCGCTCGTACTACTGAGGCTCATTCACACTCCAATTCATTCGCAGTTAGATTGATGTCCAGACCGTCACAACTGAAGCCCGTTAATATTCGGAAGCTCTTGCGCCTAGACATTCACGGCGGACAGGTCCATGCGAGTAGATGCACATATGGGGAGCTCCACGCAGTGAATAATTGGTTCTTGGTCCCTCTCTTGGGCCCCTATTGGGGTCGTCTTGGAGCCTTCTTGGGCGCCTTGGGCCGTCTTGGGGCGCTCTTAGGCCGTCTTGGGGTCTTCTTTGAGGCCTCTTGGGCCATCTCGGAACGGTCTTGGGAGCCTCTTGGGCCGTCTTGCGGCCTTCTTTGAGGCCTCTTGGGCCGTCTCGGAACGGTCCTGGGAGCCTCTTGGGCCGTCTTGGAGCGCCGGAAAGCTAAAAAAGACAAAGAAAGCACACTGATTTTGGCCTCTTAGGGCCCTCTTGGAGGCCTCTTGGAGGCCTCTTGTCGACCTCTTTGGGCGTCTTGGAGGCCTCTTGGGCCATCTTGGGGCCATCTTGGGAGTCTTGGAGCGATATTTCGGCGACTCGGAGCCCTCTTGGACAGTCTTAGGGGGCCTTCTGGGGCCCTATTGGCCCGTCTTCGGGCCGTCTACTGCCCGAAACAATCACGCGACAAGCCGCCGGGGAGCCCAGGGGAACCGCGGCAAACCCTGGGAGATTTCGGCATTTTGGGTCTGGGCCCCTTCTAAAGATCCCTGAGGACAGAGAGTTGAGGCTCCAGGGGTTCGACAGAACGGACTTGAGCACACGCCCACTCTGTGCCCAGAGGCACGGTGGCGGATTCTCTACGTAAGCATCGGTCGGCCGAGCGTGCCCGATCCTCTTACAGTGGAAACCCATGCCAAGAGACACCCTGCTGGCCTCCAGGGTGCCCTGGGTTTCTGTGCTTTCGATGGTCTTGCGATGGGAAGCGTGACGTCCCCACACCAAAAATCCACGGGACGTCCTAGGGTCCCAGGGCTGGGCTTCTTGTGGAAGGCTTCTCGTGGTCGAGCCCCTACTGTGCTTCGCGGCGTGGGCGGGGGGCGCCACCGCGGGGCCGCGCCAGGAGGGTGCGCTCGTGGCGCGGGTGCGGGTCCGCCGCCCCCGCGGGCCCGCCCGCCCGCCGCCCACGGCGTCCCGCCGCAAGGCTGAGAGGCGAACGCTGTCGTCGTCGTCGTCGTCGTCGTCGTCGTCGTCGTCGTCGTCGTCGTTATCGCCGCCGCCGTCGTCGTCGCCGTCGTCGTCGTCGTCGTCGTCGTCGTCGTCGTCGTCGTCGCCGATGTCGCCGCCACCGCCGCGTCGCCGCCGCCGCCGCCGCCGTCCCCGTCCCTGTCGTCCTGCTGCTCCTGCTGGGCCTCCTCGCCCTCCTTCCCCCCTTGCCACTCCTCCTGGTTCCTGGAGGCCCCAGGGCGCGTTCGAGGATCAAGGAGTAGGAGGGGGAGGAGGAGGAGGAGGAGGAGGAGGAGGAGGAGGAGGAGGAGGAGGAGGAGGAGGAGGAGGAGGAGGCGGAGGAGGAGGAGGAGGAGGCGGAGAGAGGAGGAGGAGGAGGAGGGGGGGGGAGGAGGAGGGAGGGGAGGGGACGGGGACGGGGAGGAGAGGAGGAGGAGGAGGAGGAGGAGGAGGAGGAGGAGGAGGAGGAGGAGGAGGAGGGAGGAGAGGAGGAGGAGGAGAGGGAGGGAGGAGAGGAGGAGGAGGGGGAGGAGGGGCGGAGGCGGAGGCGGAGGCGGAGGAGGAGGAGGAGGAGGAGGAGGAGGAGGAGGAGGAGGAGGAGGAGGAAGGAGAGGAGGAGGAGGAGGGGGGAGGAGGAGGGAGGAGAGGAGGAGGAGGAGGAGGAGGAGGGGCGCCAGGCACGATGTAGGCCTGGGCGGTTCTGGCGTTTTTGAGCACCTCGCCGCAAACGCTGGCGACAACTTCTGGAAACAAAACCAGGACAACAACACCAATAACACCACCACCACCACCACCAACAACAACAACAACGACAACAATACCAACAACAACACCAACCACACCAACAACACCAACAACAACTAAAGAAAACACACTCCAAAACTCAACAGGCCAAACAACATATGATTTCGGACAATCCTGCGCCGCCCCTCTCCTCAGAAGTTCATCCGAAACCATCGTGTTTTGTTCCCAACTATCCTGTGGTGTTGGGTCCTCGTTTTGAAGAGACAGCGCCCCGCGTCTCCCCTCCTTCCTTCCTCCTCCTCCCCCTCCTCCCTCCTCCCCCTCCTTGCCTCTGCTCCCAGCACACCTCTCACGCGTTTCGTGGCCCCATAGGGAGCTCCACCGAAGGCCCCAGTGGTTGCTCTCGCATGCGTTTCCCCCTACCCTGGGCAGCGTTTCGTGGCCCCGTGCGGAGCTCCACCGAAGGCCCCAGTGGTTGCTCTCGCATGCGGTTCCCCCACCCTGGGCAGCGTTTCGTGGCCCCATGGGGAGCCCCCCTCTGCCGCGCCGGGCGACCTCTCGCTCGCCGGGCCCCGGCCCGTGGGCCCCCTGCGGGCGCTCCCACGTGCGCGCGGCCGCGCGCCCCCCCCGCGCCCAAGTCGGTACGTCCCTCGCGCACTCTGCGCCCCAGAGGGGGGCCGCGGGCGTTCGCCGTTTGGAGTTCCTGTGCGTCTCTCGAGGCGATGGGCATGGCGCGCCGCACGACGCGGGGCGACGCGAGGATGCCACTCCGGCCCACCAGAGATCCCGAGGGGGTCTGGATCTGGGATGCGTTCTGGGGGGACGTCGCCCCTCCAAGGCGCACGCGGCATGGAACGGCATGGACAGCCCTTCTCTAGTCTGCCTTCGCTCATTTTGCGTGTTGCGCGATTCGCTTTGCTGCGTGCCTCTATGCCGATGTTTCGCCTGCACTTTTTGGCGTGTGCTTTCTGGCACCATCTGGCGTGGCCACATCTTCCTGCGCCACATGAGAGTTGTTGTTTGGACTGGGTTACCCGCAGTGTGCGGGCCTGAGACTCGCGATTTCTGCGAAAAGACATGCGCACGCCGCGCATTTCGGCGCGCCCTCAATTCGGAACATCCTTCGCACGCGCTTTGTGCACCAGCGATGGCCTCGCTTGAGTCCAGCTGGCTCTTTAGTAAAAGCATGTGCGCATGCAGATACCACAGATGGGCACACATCAGACTGTCGGAGAGAAGGATCAAGATAGAGACCGAGGGCAGCTGAAATAGCATCAGAGAGAGAGAGACAGAGAGAGAGATACATACAGAAGAGAGAGAGAGAGAGCGAGAGAGAAAAAACATGAGAACGAGAGGGAGAGATATCTACATATATACAGATAGCGGTAGAAAGAGAGAGGGAGATAGAGAGAGGGAGAAACAAATAGTGAGAGAGAGAGGGAGACACAAATAGTGAGAGGGAGAGAGAGGGAGAGAGCGTGGGAGGAGAGCATGAATATTGCAAGGAAGAAGCGTATCAGAGCATTTGCGAGCCCCCAAACTCGTGAAGGTCCCAGGGGTTGTCTGGAGGCCCTTGGAAGTCCACGGATATTCAGGAGGCATCTGGAGCGAAACGGGGCCAACAGCGTCAACAAGACCTGGATACTCGAACCTCGATCTTCTCATGACAGATTGACAGGTTCAAATTGATTTTGTGCCCACGCGCTTGACGGCGTATATCTGCCACTCCAGTCCTACACATTGCCAGCTGCACTGGGCCTGAGGCTAAAAGCCGCCGCCCCGCGGACGAAACGCATCTGCTCGTTCGGTCCATCCTCCCATGCCCTCCAGGATGCCCTCCCTTCGCCGCAGGTCTTGCCACAGGGCGACGACGAGCGGGACCAGGCCAGCGGACTCGGGCAGCCGGGAAGCTGGCCGATTACCCTCCTCTTCCTCCTCCTCGTCATCCTTCGTCTTTCTGGGTAAATGCTCCCACTCTGCCACATATCCGGCCGATAGTGATCACATCCAGGTTTCTTTCTATCGCCGACGGTGCAAGAGTTTGTCGCCTGTATGTCCTTTCTGCCGCTGACGATGCAAACTGCGTCGCAAGAGTGGCACGCGGCGCGCGCGAAATGTCGAAGTGTCGCTCTAGCCCCATCGCCACGCAGCTTTTTCCTGAATGTTGCGTTCCAGCTTGGGCGCGACTTGCATCTTTTGTTTGCCGATTGGTCGGCCGCGGGGCCCGGCGCGACCAGGCGAAATGCAAGCGGGCAGTTCTGTCGCTCGCACACTCGTTTGAAGCGGGGCCGTGCGCCAGGGCGATCTGCTTCTCTGGCCGACGCGACATGCGTCTCAAGCTCGACGCACATGCCGAGCCGTCGGATGCGGAAGCGGGGCCGCGCGCGAACAGAGGAGACGCCGCCCCCGCCCCGGGCGCCGTGCAGATCCCGCCTCAGCGTGGCGCTCCCGCTCGAGCGCGACGCATCTTCTTCGCCCGCGGAGCTGCCGGACGCGCAGGCGGGGGGCCGCGCGCGAGCGGGCGCCAGGTCGCTCTCGCCCAGACGTGGCGCTCCCGCCTCGGCGCCGCGCCTCGTAGCTGGCCCTCGCGCCGCTCCCGTCGGCGCCGCGGCCCTGTGCGCGAGGGCCGGCCTCGCCGCGCTCTCTCGCCGAAGCGCTGTGCGGGGATTTGTCTGCGAGGTCCGCTCCCGCCCGTGCGCGGCCCACGCCTCCTCCCTCCTTGAGGGAGCGGGGCCGCACGCGAGCGCCGCACCGCCTGCGCAGGGACTTGTCCCGGAGCTCAGCTCCTGCCTTGTGCGCGTTCCCGGCTCCCGCCGCTCGCGAGGTCTTCGGGGGCGGGCCCGCGCGCGGGCGCTCTCCGCTGGCTGGGGGGGAGCGCGCGCTGGTTCTGGTTTCCAGTCGTCCCAGAATCTCTTACCACGGCAAACGGAGGGCGGGCCCACTGACTCGTTCGAACAGGCCAGCCTGATCCTCCTCACACTGCTCCGCATCGTCCTGGTCCCGCTTCTCCTCCTCCTGCCCCCCTCTCCTTCATCCTCCTGGGTCAGCGCGCCCCCGTTCTTCGTTCGCATCCTCCCTCTCCCTCCTCTTTTAGTTGCTCCTCCTCCTCCGCCTCCTCCTCTTCCCCCTCCCCCTCCTCGCCTTCCTTCTTTCTCCTCCCCCTCCTCCCACGCCTCACACTCCTCACCCGCTTCTTCCCCTCCCCTTCCTCATTCTTCCCTCCTCCTCGGCCTCCTCCGCCTCTTCCTCCTTCTCCTCGTCTTCCTCCTGCTCCTCCTCCTCCTCCTCCTCCTCCTCCTCCTCCTCGTCCTCCTTCTCCTCGTTTCTCTCCCCCCCTCCTCCCTCTCCAAAGGTGCGAGCTCGCATGTGCTGGTTTGCACGCGCTGCTTCGGCCACGCCACGTGTCCAGGAATCGGCCATGGTCTCACGTCAGAGTGCTTGCCCAGGAGAGGTCTCTCACTCCCAGGGCCCAGAGCATACGCAGCAGAGCTGAGAGAGGCGTTCATCCCCACCACGCGTGGCGTGCCCGCTTGGGCGAGTTGGCCTGACCATCGGCGGGATTGCGCGCAGTGGAGGGGGCAGTTCTCCGTGCCCGAGGCGGTGCAGGCAGCGAGGGTGACGGACGTTCGCCGCGAGGCCGTCGACCAGCCGATGCGATGGGGCAGCAGATACACCCGAGTGGCCATGAGCGATGTCTTGTGGGCCTTCGGACTTCGTTCGCGTGCCAGGGCGTCGGAGCTCGTGCTCGAGGCACGCGCCCTCGACGCTGCCCGAGCCAGCGCCGATGCGCCTGGGGATGAGTGGGTTGAATCTGAGGCGCCCTCTTTGGCGTGAGGCCAGCCTCGGATGCGCGCTGGAGGCGCGCGCACTGTGTGGGCCCACCTCCACCGCTGCGGGCACGTCCCGCGGGTGTCCGTTGTGTGGGGTGGGGCGGGGTCTCCTTCTCCTTCTCAACTTCCCTCAGCAGTCGCTTACCTCCTCCTCCTCCTCCTCCTCCTTCCTCCTCCTCCTCCTCCTCCTCCTCCTCCTCCCTGGTCTCCTGCCTTCCCTCCTTTTCTTCCTTCCTCCCCTCCTGCACGGTGCCTCCCTCCCTCCCTCCCTCCCCTCCGCCGTGGACGCCCCCTCCGGGGGGACCCCTTCGGGGGGGATCCAGCACCCGCCGCCTGCCAGCGGCCGGCCGCGACAGGCCGCGCGGTCTCGCGGGAGGGACCAGCCAGGGTGTGGCTCCTTTTCGCGCCCACTCCTCCGCTTCTCCACTCCGTAGCCTCCAGCTGGGCGCCGCGGGGGAGGGCGCCGGCAGTCGCGCGGGGCTGCCATGGCGCCGTGGCACTGTCAGTACACCCCCGCGCACGGCGCCGAGGCGCTTCTGGTCCCAGGTGGTCGCAGCATCGCGGCTTTGTGCCAGCGCCTCGGCCGGAAGCTGGGGCCAGGGGCACGGATGGAGGAACCCGGAGGGCGCCCACGATGCTCCCGTCCGCTCTCGCAAGCGAGACCACGGGGCGTCCTCCGAGGCCCCGGCCCCGCGGGACCGGCAGTCCGCCCTTGGGGCCTCCAGCCAGCCCTCTCCTCCTGCTCCTGCTCCTGCTCCTCCTCCTCCTCCTCCTCCTCCTGTTCCTCCTCCGCCTCCCCCTCCTCCCCCTCCTCCTCCTCCCTCCTCCTCCTCTCTCCTCCTCTCCTCCTCCTATTCCTCCTCCTCCTCCTCCTCCTGCTCTGGCTCGTCTTCTCCTTCTCTCCCCGCTCTTTCCCCCCGACCTCGCCTCCCCTTCCGCTCGAATGAGCAGCGAGCTCGAAAGCGGAATAGGCGAGCGGGCGCTGGGCAGAGTCGATTGCTCTCCCGCCCGATGCCGCCCAGTCTCAGGGGGGGCTCTGCGCCACTTCGGCTGGTGGCCCAGTGTCCATGAGCTTTTTCTCCCCAGACCCCCGACGTCGTGATTTTTGTCGCAACGTGGATCCCCAGAGGTTTCGACCCATGTCTTGGAACGAGCGTTTCATCCTGTGCCGTTTCTTTTCGGTCCAGGGCCTGCTACGGACCCCCAGGGTTCGACGGGCTGAAAGCACCCCCCCCCCCCGTCGTCTTCTTGTCGCGACTGGATTTGCGGTGCACCTGCGCCCGCACTGACAGCGTCGAGCATCCGAGCCTGACCTTGGCACATCCCGAAGTTCTTCACGATCCGAGGGCGCTCTGGCCGTCTCTCGGCCTTCCCGTTCTTCCTCCTCCTGCTTTGCCTTCCCCTCCCTTGCCCCCAATTCGCTTCCGACGCGCCCCGCCCGGAGCCGACCGCCTGCTGGATCCAGCGCTCGCCGCGGACAAAATAGCTCACGACGCGAGGGCGGCGCGGCTCCTTCGCTCTCCCCGGCGCGGCCATGCCAGGCCGCCGAGTTCCCCCCTTTGCGCCGCACGGCTCCGCCCAGCTCTGTGGCAGCACTCGGCTGGCTGTGCGGAGGGGGACGGTGAGGGGGATCTTGGTGTCGATGGAATTGGTGGTGCTGAGGTGCTGCTGCTGCTGATGGTGATGATGATTGTGATGATGATGCTGATGCTGATGATGTTGGTGGTGATGATGCTGACGACGGCGATGCTGAAAATGATGATGCTGATGCTACTGCTGTTGATGCTGCTGATCATGATGACGATGATGACGACGATGACGACGATGATAACGTTGACGATGCTGCTGATAATGATGATGTTGATTATGATGATGATGTTGATGTTGTTGATGATGATGCTGATGACGACGGCGACGATGATGATGAAGCTGATGATGATGCTGATGCTGATGCTGATGATCATGATGATGATGTTGATGACGAAACTGATGCTGATGATGTTGATGATGATGATGCTGACCCTGCTTATGATGATGCTGCTGCTGTTTCTGATGCTGATGCTGCTCATTCTGCGGCTGCTGCTGCTGATCATGGTAATTCTGATGATCTGGATGAGGATGATTCTGAGGATGCTGCTGCTGCTGATGCAGAGGATGATGATGAGGATGATGATGATCACGCTGCTGATGCTGATACTGCTGATGATGCTGATGCTGATGCTGATGCTGATGTGATTGATGATGCTGATGCTGATTATGATGCTGATGCTGCTGATGATGATTAGGATGATGCTGCTGCTGATGATGATGCTGCTGGTGAAGATTATGATGATGCTGATCATGATGCTGATTATGATGATGATGATGATGCTGCTTCTGATGATGATGATGATGACGATGGAGCTAGTGATGATGCTGATGATGCTGATGATGCTGATGATGCTGATGCTGATGATGCTGATGCTGCTGATGATGCTGATGCTGATGCCGATGATGATGCTGATGATGCTGCTGCTGATGATTCTGATGATGCTGATGCTGATGATGATGCTGATGATGATGATGCTGCTGACGATGATGATGCTGATGATGATGATGATGATGATGATGATGATGATGGTGATGGTGATGGTGATGCTGATAATGATGTTGCTGCTGCTGCTGCTGATGATGATGATGATGATGATGTTGTTGATGATGATGATGATGATGATGATCATGATGATGACGATGATGCTGATGATGATGATGCTGATGATGATGATGATGATGATGATGCTGATGATGATGATGATGATGATGATGATGATGATGATGATGATGATGATGAGTGATGATGGCGGTGCTTAAGAGCCTTGCTCCTCGAACCCCAAGCCTCTCCCCCGAGGTGGCGACTCATCCATAGCCACCGGCTGTCGGATCCCTCTTCGGGGACCTCGGCACGCCGTGGATATGGACATACATCTGGTCCCCGGGGGGGTCACGTGTATCCGTGTCCACCTCCTGCCAGGGTTCCAACAGATCGGTCACCCAGGCGTTCGCTCTGGATACGTCCCCGCTTCGCGTCTCCTCGTCCTCCTCGTCCTTCCCGTTCTCCTCCTCCTCTTTCCCGTTCTCCTCCTCCTCCTCCTCCTCCTTTCAGGATCGAGAGTATCTCTGATTATGATCCGAGTGCCCCCATGTCCCGTTGTGGTGGGGCTGCGCGCCTCGCGGCCATCCATCGACCTCAGGAGTGCCAGCGCTTCGTCGTGTTTTCCTGGAGCTGTTTCCTGCACTTTGTTTACCACGCTGGGGTCCAGCCGCCCCAGGTAGTCGCATCTCTGAGGCCAAAGGTACTCCGCGATCATAGGGCCCAGCGGTTTCCCACGGTAAGCTGTGGCACAAATCGGCATGCAGTTGACGCAGTGGGAGATAATCTCATTGAATCCTCCTCCTCGTCGTCGTCCTCGGCCTCGCGTCTCGTCCCCGCTCTCCTCGCCTTCCTCCGTGGCGGGCGGTCGGCTTCCAGGGGCTCCAGGCGGCGCGCCCGTGACCACAGCGGAGCCAGCCACCACCGCCTGCTGTGCCGCAGGGCACGCTCAAGCTGAGCGACCTGCGCGCCGGGAGGAGCGAGAACTCCCGCAGGCGGGGCGGAGGGCGATCGGGGTCGGGCAGGCATCCTTTTCACGGAACGCATTTTTTCGAGGGGGTGGGAATGGCGGCAATGAGCTCACCGAAGGCATTCGTTGCTGAAAGCAACTTGGTGCAATTTGTCTTGCACGAGTTTTTGCCTTCAAGCAATTTTTGCCTTCACGTTTTTGCCTTCAGGGTCGGGGAGGGCGAGGGGGGAATCTGGCGTGGCTGGGATAGGGTGAGCTCGTTCCAGAGCGTTGCGGCACGCTCTCATCGCGCTCTGGAGCGCTCCGAGAAGGTCGGGGCGCCCGACAAATCCTCCAGAGCCGTCGGGCATCAAAGATCTCGAGTTTGTGCCTGTCCGATTTCGTCCCTGTCCTGGCTTCGCCTTCTGTGTGCCGGGGGGGGACTCTTGTTCAGTTAGTCCGCCGCCCTCCCCCGACAGAGGGGAGCCAGGCATTGAGCTCCCAGGCAGCTCAAAGCCAAGCACGAAATGAGAAGGGCGGCGGCCCGGGGAGGGAGGCGGGATGGGAGGAGGACGAGTTGTGATGCAACTGGTGATGAGCACGATGGCGATGGTTCTGCTGCTGACGATGACAACGGAGATGATGCTGACGATAATGATGATGATGCATGGTGCTGGTGCAACTGCTGATGATGCTGATAACACTGCTGTTGATGCTGATGATGCTGATGATGATGATTACGGTGACGACGATGATGACGACGATAGCGACATCGATGATGATGATGATGGTGATGATGATGCTGATCCTGTTGATGATGGTGATGATGGTGATGCTGGTGGTGTTGATGATGCTAGTGAAGATGATGATGCTGATGATGATGCAGATGATGATGCTGCTGCTGATGATGATTATGATGTTGATACTGATTATGATGCTGATGATGATGATGGCGATGCTGATGATAATGATGTTGCTGACAATGATGAACATGACGAGGATTTCTCTGATGCGGACCATGCTGAGGCTGATGATTATGATGATACTAGTGATGATGCTGCTGATGATGATGGCGACGCTGATTCTGATGATGCTGATGATGCTGATGATGCTGCTATTGCTGCTCCTGGTGATGATGATGACGGTGACGACGAGGAAGACGACGATGGCGGGACCGATGATGATTCTGATGATGGCGGTGAAGCTGATGATGCAGATGGTGCTGCTGCTGATGCTGACGATGCTGATGCTGATGCTGATGGAGATGCTTATAATGATAATGATGCTGATGATGCTGACGGTGATAATGATGTTGATGTTGATGATGATGATGCTGATGGTGATGATGATGCTGCTGATGCTGATGATGACGATGCCGGTGGTGGTGCTGGTGATGGCGATGTGGGTGATGATGCTGCTGCTGATGCTGCTGATGATGATGCGGATGATGCTGCTGATGCTGATGATGCTGGTGATGCTGATTATCATGCTGATGCTGCTGATGATGGTGGTGATGATGCTGCTGCTGAGGTTGCTGCTACTGATGATAAATATTATGATGATGATGATGATGGTGGTGGTGATGATGATGATGATGCTGTTGCTGATTATGATGATGATGCTGATGATGATGATGCTGATGATGATGATGAAGAAGAAGAAGAAGAAAGTGGTGTCGATGATGCGGATGGTGATGAGGATGGTGGTGGTGGTGGTGGTATTGGCGAGGATGAGAAGGCTGATGCTGGCGCTGCCGCGGCTGCTGCTGATGCTGTTGCTACTGATGCTGCTGCTGATGATAATGCTCATGATGACACTGAAACTGATGATGAGGGTGAGGATGAGGATGAGGATGAGGATGCGGATGATGGGGATGAGGATCGAGATGATGCTGATGGCCCAGCTACTCTCAGCAATTCCGTCACCGTGCTAGCGCAGCATTCCGCGTGGCAGCTACTCGAGAAGGCAAGGAGGCCTGCTAGGGGCCTCTTGGGATAGAAGACTCGAATTCTGAGTTCGCGATCCCACTCTTGGGGCCCTTCTTGAGGCCGCCTGGGGGCGCTTTTTGGCAGTCGTTGGCGCCTCTTGGGTCGTCTTGGGGTCTTCTTGGGCCGTCTTGGGGCCCTCTTGGGGGTCGGGGTATTGGGGCAGTCCTGGTGGCATCTTGGGTCGTCTTGGGACGTCGGACCGTCGGCACGTCGAACACCAGAAACCAGAGAACCACCGACGAACCAACCGTGATTGTTGTGCCTCGAGGCCCTGTTGGGACGGCTCTTGGGTCTCTCTTGGGACGCATCGGCGGCCTCGTGGGCCGTCTTGACGCCACCTTGGGCTATCTTGAGGCCAACGTGGCCCGTCTTGGTGCGGCATTGGGGCGTCATCGATGCATCGGGGCCTCGGGAGCGTGACCCTGTAGCATTTTGCAAAGGATCATGGCCTCGGGAAGAGGGGGCGATGCGCGCCCCTGGGCGCGAAGAGAGGCGGGTGTTGGGCGGGGGGGGGGGCTGTTTAGACAATAGCAGAAGCTCGACTAGACAGACCTTGGCTTTTCCCCACGCCTCAACCTGCACAATAAGCAGTGGCGGGTGATTGATGGTGATGATGACGATGATGCTGGTGCTGATGCTGATTATGCTGATGATGGTTATGATTATGATGATGATTGGGGCGGTGATTATGATGATGCTGATGCTGATGCTGATGCTGATGCTGTTGACGATGGTAATGATGCTGGTAATGATGATGATGTTGACGATGATGATGCTGATGATGATTATGCTGATGATGCTGATGCTAATGTTGTTGATGATGATGGTGATTATGCTGAACATGATGGTTGTGTTGATGATGATGATGATGATGATGATGATGATGATGATGGTGATGTTGATATTGATTATGATGATGGTGATACTGCTCATGACGATGCTGATGGTGATGATTGTGACGATGATGATCATGCTGGCGATGCTGATTATGATGCTGGTGATGATGCTGCTGATGCCAATGATGATGCTGAATCTGATGATGCTGATGCTGATGCTGATGATGAAGCTGATGACGATACCTATGATGCTTTTAATGGTGATGCTGATGCTGCT